AAATGAAAGCTATAGACCTTAAGTTTATTTTACAAACAGTAGATTAAAGATGGAAACAAAACCTAGCAATCTTTCAAAAGTATACACACCACACACACACACACACACACATTTTGAGATAAGTATGCAGAAGAGAAAAGGAAGGAAAATAGGAGAGTAAGTAATTCATTCCTAAAGGTAATGTGCCTAATGTCATGGATCACAAGACAATCAAAGCATGCTAAGATCCTGTCTTTGATCTTAAGCCAAAACTCCTTCAGGCCTCACTCAGCTGACAGCCTTTAAACATCAGAATGCACGACTAAGCCAAGAGCCAGCCTTGGTTTACTTTGATCCATTTGACATTCATCGGAGATCTCTGCTTGTTTTGCCACCTCATCTGGGGCTGGAACATGAGTCCCGCAACTTCAGTCTTGATGTTCCCTGTGACTTTACATGCTTTATCTTTCCTCCTGTAAGTAGACCAAGGACCTTGCAGCTTCCATCCCTTAACAAACATCTTTTAAAAATCGTTGATAGTATTTTAGAGCTTGTGACTGTGAAAAACAGAAATATCTCTGGAAGCTGTGGAAATGCGAGTTGTGAAGAGAGTTATTGTGAGCACAATTTCCCCTGTAAGTGGCAAATGTGTCTCTCACTTTCAAAATCAACCTGTCCCAGAATCACACAGTGTGGACATTATTTTCCAGGTTGAATTATTGCTTAAATAAATCTGTACGATGAGATGTAAAGCACTTTGGTTTTGCCTGCGTGGTGTATGGGTGAACAGCATTTAAAGCAATATATTACAGCCAACCCTAGCTAAAATAATGAAGTATATAGCTTTCCCCTATTAAATTCCTTGTCTCAAAAGGTATAGAATATTAAGTTGAACTTGGGATATTCTTTTCTAAAATATAGGTGGTAGGCAATTCATATTTGCCTAGCACACATATAGAGTTTGAAAACTCTGGTTATCTGCACTGGAGCCGTACAAGATGGGCTCTGCTGCCATGAGTCATGGGAGGGGGGAATGTGTTCAGAGGGCCCTACATTTGCTGTTGAACTAGTGGTTATTCATAGATTCATGGAGACAGAAAAACATTGTATTCTGTTGAAGGTCTGCTGCCAGGCTCTAAAAGATAGCTGCAAACCCATGGCCACACAGAGGGGCCGGGATGAAGTCAGCGAGTCACAAAATAAAACAAATAGACCAAAGCATGAGAGATTGGTGGCGAAGAGGTGGTTGGAGAGGGATGGTAGGAATGTGGGTGGGAGTGGGATGAGAGTGGCCATATCCATCATGTGGAATTGTTAGATTGTCTAAAATCAAATTATAGAAACACACACACACTCAAATGAATGAATGTCTGGGCTGAATAATGTCTGTATGTCCTTCAAACTCAGCAATCCTGTGACTACAGAGTATTTCCATGAGGAATATTCCTAACCTGCATTGTGTTACTCTTTTAATCTCACAGGTAATGTACACTGACAGACATTAAAGCATATTTTTATATTACCCTTTTAAAAACACACAAAAAAAGTGTATTTCTGAAGGATAAGTTGACAGAGGACATGGGGAATTTCCAAAATTAACTGTGAAAGACAGATCATCTGGGCATGACTGAAAGCCACGCATAACCTTTGTGCTCAGGTTCTTCATTTCAAAAATGTCACTTTCTGCTCATTCAATGAGACTGTCATTAGACTATTTTAAGCTTTAAAATTTGTGTTCTGAAGCTGAACAAGAATTATTGCTTCTATCTTTGGGCTTATTAGAAATAAATTAAAATTCATTTTAAAATGATAAAATCACCTTTTTCTCATGGTTGAATCCAATCAAATATTGAAAGTTGCAATGCAGTCCTTTTTGTCTCTTTGTATGTGTGTGACTTTAATTAGCAACAATTATATATTTGTATATGTAACACAAAACTTTTTTAAGGGCCTTAGAAAAAATCACATTGAGAATTAATTTTCATTACTTTTTAATTTGCCAGAAATAGATTAAAGTAGAATAAATTAGGGGATAATGTTACCTAAAATTTCAGGCTTTTCCATATATAGGTAAACTTTAAAAATATGACAGTTGAAATTATCATTGATCTACCCTGTGATATGTGGGCAATTGGAAAGTTAGATCCATGGAAAGTAAGTGTGCCTCTGATCCGTGAGATTTCTAGAAAGGGGTGGGGGTTATGAAATAAAGATGCAGTATAGGAATCAACTTCCCTCCAATAGGGAGGGAATAGACTCAATTATTTGTTATTTATTCAACAATTTACTCTCTAAATAATCCTTATTCTTCCAACTGGAAATTTGTATAATGCTAATTAGCAGAGTCAGGGAAAGAAGTACTGGAGTTTTATGAGGATGCTGGCACTGGGGATCCTTCTCCAATCAGGAGAGGGAGGAGAGAGGCTTCCCTCCTGATACATGAGGGTTTTTCCAGGAAAGGCCAGCTAGAGAACTGCTTCACCTGGTGATGGGCTGAGGAAGTACAGGGACTAAGTGAGTAGCAGCCAGTGTCTATTATAAGCAACAAGCCTCCAGAAAGAGAGAATTAGGCAGTTGATTTGTGGTCATAATTACAGACTGGAGAGTCACCATGATTACCAACAAGAAGCCTGCTCTTGTGTAGCTATTTGTCCTGAATAGTGCTGTGTACAACAAATGAAAAAAAAAATGCTCTCTTGAAGAAGGCAAGATGGTGTAAGGTAGGGGATGGAAAAAATTTAAAAGGCTGCCTTGGGATGTTCTGCATTAAATTTTAAAACAATAGAGGTACTCATAGTATTCTAATACCAGAGGATGGAATTCAAATAAGCTGTTTAGTTGTGAAGCATGCAGTCATCAGCATGGGCAAGAATGCTCAAAATTATATGAATCACTCAGCCAAATGAAGTGCATAAGATAATTGATTGTTTCTTTCTTAGAGACACAGTGGATGCACAGAGCAAGCACATACAAAGCACTTAGGAATATTCCTATATATTAGTAAATTTTGGAAAGGTGTTTGTGTCATAAGCTATGTAATTTGAAAACGGCAAAAGAGAAATACAAAGTTCCTTGGTTTGTGCATTGAGACCCCTCTTAATGTGCAAATTATAGAGTAGTCCAGTTAACTTTGTCCTAGTTTGGTCCCTGTAAACTTTGATGTCACCCTACCTCATGTACTGCCATCTATGTATGCCCCTAGGTCTGTCACATTGCATCAGGTGATAATCATTTAAGTACTAATCAACCGAATGAGGTAATAGGGCAATAAGAATATTCCAGAATCTTTTCTCATAATAAACATCAGGTTTTACTTGAAGATATTTTCCACCAGGGTCTACCTTATGGTATTGTGTCAGAAAGTTTTTTTCTGTCAAGAGGTGTGGAGTGGGGATAGGACTTCCAGCCTATAGGGAGGTAGTTCGTTGTTATACTCATCTGTCACAAGTTCCCACTTTCTAGCATTTATTGGAGCTGATGCATTGCCCCTTAGTTATTCACTTTTAAAACTATCCAGGGACTTCAAATGAGAGTGGAACATTGCTAATAAATTCACACCAAGATGGCATTTGGCATACCTTAAGATATCTGCTGAACAAAAGTAGATAAATATGCCCTAAACATAGCAAGAAATCTAGAGATTAATTCATCTAGACTTCAAAGATTTTCATAGCCATTTCTCTGAAGTCTTGGATCCATCTTCGAAGGAGCTGTTTATTTGTGTCAGCACAGAGATTATATCCAATAAGCTAAGATTTTTTTTATTCTAAATGAAAGGAGAAAGCATGTATTACATCCACACCAGCAAAATATCTCAATTCCTGTTACATTTTTTGTGACATACATCATATTTTTCCCACCAGCAACAATTTTAGTTTCACTTAATTCTTCCAAATTAATTTTTATATGTCATTATCCAAGAAGCTTCACCCTTAAGTTTTCCATTGATAATTCCAAGGCAGGGTAGTAACTACCCCCAGGCATCTAACACATTTATCAGTTTTAGATGAGTAGCTAGATAATAATTAGTCTGAAATCGAGATTAAGTATGATTCTACAACCAAGATTTTCTGTGGGACATGTTTGACTGTGAGTTTGAATGATTTTTTAAGTATATAATTTATTTGTTCTTTCAAATTTCATTTTAAGATACAAGTTTTCCCAATCCTCCTCCTCCCCTTACGTCCGCCCCAGCACACACACACATTCCACTCCTCTATCTCTCTCTTATGAGGCATTAACAGAGTCTGACACAATAGGTTGGGGAAGGGTCAAACCCCTTTCCAATGCATTAGGGCTGAACATGGAATCCCACCATAGGGAATGGGCTCCAACAAGCTAGCTCATGTATCAGGTTGTATCATGGTCCTACTACTTGGGGCCCCTCTGATAGTCCAAACTTCATAAGTGTCTCTCACAAATGGAGGGCCTGGAATCTCTGCCATTGTTGGTCTAGAGGTCATGAGTTTCCACAACCTTAGTTCAGCTGTCTGTGTAGATTTCTCCATCATGATCTTGACCTCCCTTGCACACATATTCCTTCCTCCCTCTCTTCGAATTCAACTGGATAACAGGAGCTAGGTCTAGTTCTTGGTTACGGATTTCTGCATCTGTTTCCCTCAGTTACTGGATAAAGGCTCTATGATGATAGTTGTAGTATTCTGATTACATAGGAAGACCAGTTTGGGCACCCTCTCCACTACTGCTAAGAGCCTTATCTGGGGTCATACTCGCGGTTACTTGAGAATTACCCCAGCACCTAGAGGGGAGGGAGATGAGAACATGAAGGAATGGGGTGTTTGAGAGGGGAGGGATGCAGTGGAAGAGCTATGAAAGTGATATCTTAATAGAGAGCCACTATAGGATTAGGGAGTTTGAGTTTTAATCAAAGACTCAAGCTAATAACGAAGTTGACTACTCTTTCCATAAATAATTGGGGAAAACATAAGCACAGGTCAAATTTAAAAGCTTTCTAATATATTCATGGTTTACTCCTCAATCTTTTCTTTTCCCTCTTTCAGTGTCTGCCAAGCCAAGACCCCACAGTGATGAATATTCAAAGAAAATCCCCCCTCCAAAACCAAAACGGAACCCTAACACACAGCTTAGCACATCATTCGATGAAACCTACATCAAAAAGCATGTGCCGAGGAGGACCTCGCTGCCACGAGATTCATCCCTGTCTCAGGTCTGCAGTCCCGCAGCAGACCCCGAAGAAGAGGAGCCTGTGTACATCGAGATGGTGGGTAACATTCTCAGAGACTTCAGGAAGGAAGAAGATGACCAGAGCGAGGCTGTATATGAGGAGATGAAATACCCCATTTTCGACGACTTGGGGCATGATTCCAAATGTGACTTTGATCATCACAGTTGTTCTTCGCAGTGTGCTACTCCCACAGTGCCTGACCTGGACTTCATCAAGTCTTCAGGACCATGTACTCCTAAGGGTCTGCTTTGTGAGATACCCCCACCCTTCCCTAACTTGCTTTCCCATAGACCACCCCTGCTGGTGTTCCCACCAGCCCCGGTACACTGCTCCCCCAATTCTGATGAGTCTCCGCTGACTCCCCTGGAGGTCACAAAGCTTCCTGTGTTGGAAAATGTGTCTTACATGAAACAGCCACCCGGAGCATGTCCATCCTCCCTGCCATCGCACACCTCCAGCCACGCTAAAGACCAGACTGGAGCACTGGGTCCTGTGCCTGCAACATCTGTGCTCTCCTCATCTCCTCCACCTCCATCCACTTTGTACAGAACACAGTCTCCTCATGGCTATCCTAAAAGTCATTCCACATCACCTTCCCCTGTCAGCATGGGGCGGTCCCTGACGCCCTTGAGTCTCAAGAGACCTCCCCCGTATGATGCTGTGCATTCGGGCAGCCTCTCAAGAAGTTCATCCTCAGTGCCTCACTCGACCCCCAGACCCATGTCCCAAGATGGGGCCAAGATGATCAATGCCGCAGTGAACACCTACAGCGCTGCGCAGAGTGGCTCCAGGTCCCGGACACCCACCAGTCCTTTGGAGGAGCTCACCAGCCTTTTTACCTCAGGACGGAGCCTGCTGAGGAAATCATCCAGTGGCCGAAGGTCCAAAGAGCCTGCAGAGAGTAAGTTGAGCAATCTGGTCTGTTGAAGGCCTCAAAACCAACAAGAGGCCCCTTATGCCCAAGCAAAGCTCAGGGGACTTGCTTCTGAGTCTTTTGGTTCCAATGTCAAAATACAAAGAAAATTTTTTTAAGTTCAGGCATGTTGTAAGAACTAGTGTGTTCTGAGTGGGCACTAAAATGACAATCTGGCAAGTTGCAATACGTTTTGTCCCCCCAAAGGTGTGAGCTTCTTAAGGCTAAAATCAGAATTCTTACAACAGCTCCAAAAATTCTAATGGAGAAGACCATGAGGTTTTTAGATGAAAGGTTTGATTTGGACGAATCTAACCATGTCCAGAATTGCTAAAGGAAAAAAAGCTTAACTAAGATTGTTCCAACTCAGCTGTTGGGGATTTACTGCAGGAAATCTTGCATGAAAGACAGCAAACTGGACAAAGTTTGGGATTTATTTCCCTTTCATGTAAGGAATTGTTCTGTCTGCCTACTTCATATTATCACAGGGTTCCCTTCATTGTCAATGACAATAGACTCATCAATTCCCCACTGTACACCATCACAGGGTCTAGCACCACCACCACCATCACCATACCACATACCATACAGACACACACACAGATACATACATACACCAGCAAACACACACATACACACCACCAACACCATCACCATACCACATACCATACAGACACACACACAGATACATACATACACCAGCAAACACACACATACACACCACCAACACCATCACCATACCACATACCATACAGACACACACACACAGATACATACATACACCAGCAAACACACACATACACACCACCAACACCACCACCATACCACATACCATACAGACACACACACAGATACATACATACACCAGCAAACACACACATACACACCACCAACACCATCACCATACCACATACCATACAGACACACACACACAGATACATACATACACCAGCAAACACACACACATACACACCACCAACAACACCACCATACCACATACCATACAGACACACACACAGATACATACATACACCAGCAAAAACACACACACACACACATTTATCTTTTATCACCGTAGCAATATCTATGTTTAGGATCCTCCTTCCTGAATCCGTTGTTGAGTATATTATATGAAATCATTAAGGGGTGAAAACTGTTGCCGTTGAGTTTCAAAGACCAGGGAATTTCAGTTTCTGAGTGAGTAGCTCTTGCATTTGCCCTACACGACTCACACCACAAGTCTGTGTAAAGCCCCATGCAGTTCCAGATCAATTGTTTCCATGTCCAGATCGTTCAGTCACACTAGCTTTTGTTTCTTTTGTTTTAAACATGCTTTAGTTACTTAAACTGATTCCACCACTGTATATCAAATGAGCCCACCATGCAATTTGGTTATCTTGCATGGTTCTACTGTATATATGGGGAAGAAAAGCAGTCCCTATCACTTTTGATGCTGGAGATGACCATGGCATTCTCAAGTAATCCATAGTCATTGATAGTTACAAGTGACTTTCCCTCTCTTTACCTGGAAATATTTATAAACTCATTAGTTAACCAAATGATACTCTCTCCATCTTCTTATGAGCGTAACTGAATAAACAGTAGTTTTTAATGTCTCCAACATGCTTGAGTTACATCTATGCATATGTGCATACATATAAATCACTTTAAGTTATTTCAAGAATTGAATTTAAAAATTAAGGGGATTCTACAGTTAATTTTAGATGCACAAAACAAAAACTACACATGTATATAACACCTCAACATCTCAAGTCACTCATGCAACACTCAAAATTCTTAGGAGCAATGTGTCTATAGTGCAGTTGTTCAGAATTCAGTTTTGGCCTGCAGGAATGTTTGACAAGTCAATGTCTAATAAAACCATTGGTTGGCACTCTGGGTTGATACTGTTGTCTATAGCAAAAAAGTTGGGATTATAGACAATAATTAAAAACTACTCACCAAAAGGAAGATCCATAACAAGTATTTCTTTTATAACAAAAGAGAAACATATAAAGAGAGTATGTACTTCTAAAACACACAATTCCCCTGTGAAATTATCAGGCCTTTCACTTAGGACTTGTGAAACTATTGGGTTTTCTCCATACCTATCAGCTTCTTTGGAGAACCCTTAACACTTCCAGTTGGCAGCTGTGCCAATTAGCTAGAAAAACTGGATAAAGGGGACAGTTAACTAATGAAGTAATTTCAGGGGAAAAATTCATCTGCTAAGTATAAATCTATGGGATGTTTCTCAGAGACACCATTGTCTGATTTTGAGAGGCCTTTGCATGCTTCCAGAACAAAACTTGTACATAGAAGAAAGACCTGGGTCCTTTGCAGCCTTTGAGAACCAAGAGCTGTGTTCCTTTCTACCATTTATTAGCTGTGTCTCAAGCCTTCAGAGAAAGTCATGCTGAGTTTTATTAGACCTGACATTGTATTCTACATAAATGGGAGGGAAGTAAAATGCAGAGTAGGAAGGGATAATTACACTTTTAATTGTTCTTGATTATAGAGTAAAATAAAAAAATATTACTTTATGTTTAAAAATATCAGGTGTGCTCTTAGAAACATAATGTTATGCACATGAACCAAAATTGTTAATAACTACAATTTTAGCTGGTGATCGTTGTTTCATTACCTTCAGTGATATCTTCTTCCTTTTACCCCAGCCTGACAGCGTTAGTAGGTACCTGTTGATATCATAAACACAGAACGAGTAACACAAAGTAGTGAGATATTCATGACTCAAATGTGGTCAATTTTTAAAAATAATGGTCCAGGATTATTTTATATTTTAAGGATGAAAGATTGTTGTTTGTTCACCCTCTCCCTTGACTCCTTTGAAAAGCAATTTTAAAGCATTTAATTTAAAAATGATCTTGCTTTTAACTAAAGAAAAATTGTAAAATAAAATTTATACTCTTGAATATTATTTTTAATATTCTAAAAGATGCTTTTCTAGTTTGCTTTCCACTGCTGTGCTAAAGCTCATTGGCAAAAGGCAACATAAGGAGGGGAAGGATTCGTTTAGCTTACACTTTCAAGCCTCAGTCCATCACTGAAGGATGCCAAGGCAAGGACTGAAGGCAGGAATCTGAAGGCAGGCTTCTTGTTTCATAGCATGTATTCCAACAAGGGAATTTACTTTATGGCCAAGAAGCTCAGCAGGGACTGTGGAGAAGCACTGTTTGCTGGGCTAACTTTCCAGTTCACTTGCTCGAAAACTCATGCTTAGCTAGCTTTGTTATACACAGCAGCACCAGTGCCCAAGGAATGGTCCAACCATAGTGACCTGTTTCCTTCTGACTCAATTAACAATCAAGAAAGTCCCTCATGGGAGCTCGAGACATGCCTCAGTCACACTTCTCTCTCTCTCCCTCTCTTTCCACCCCCCTCTCTTTCAAGACAGGGGTCCTCAGTGAAGTTTTGGAACCTTTCCTGGAACTCACTCTGTAGATCAGGCTGGCCTTGAACTCAGATATTTGCCTGCCTCTGCTGCCTGAGTGCTGGGGTTAAAGGGGTCCACCACCACTGCCCAGCACCACCACTGCCCAGCACTTGTTTCTTTTATAGAGTATGAGAGTTCAGTTCCCAGCATTCATATTGCAACCCTCTCTAATTCTAGTCCCAGTGGATCTGCAGCCCACTTCCGGCCTCCATGAACACCAGGTATACATGTGGCATACAACATGTGGCAGACAAAACACTCACACACAAATTAAAAAGAAAAATCTTTAAAAAATTCTCTCGGAGACTTGCTCACAAAATAACCTGATAGAGACAGTCAGATTTTGGTCCTGCACTGTCATTAGATGCATTGGCTTCAGAAATCTAGTGTTCTTGTCTTTGACTGCTGACATCATGGTAACCACTGTATAGATTAGTAATTCGTGACTATTCCCAGGAAAATTAAGACACTGATCCAAAACCCAAACAATGGCTAGAGAAGTGGCTTGCAGGCATGTGACCTTGTGACACAGACATAACAACCTCAATTGACATCCCAGCACCCACATAAAACTGGGAATAGGTGCTCATGTGTCTCTAATGCTAATGCTCTGAACAGGGGTGACAGAAGGCTCTCTAGAGATTATCATTTACCGGCCTAACTTTTGATTCAATAGGGGACTCTGTACTAGAAGAGGACACCCATGTCCTCCTCCATCCTCTGCACACATATATGTGTATATATACCAAACATATATCATACACATATAAACAATAACAATGGCAACAATAAAATGGCTAAAGGCAATGACAGCTCCACAACAGATGATCCAAACCTGACTCAGGTAACCACAAAACGTTCTACTAAGTGCTCTCTGCCCCACCTTTTTGTCTTTAGACATGTGAGTCTGTTTATTCACACACTTGTCTTTAATATATATGTACACATGTATATATATATATACATATATATAAACATATACATATACAATTGTATGTATGTATGTATGTATGTATGTATGTATGTATGTATGTATATGAAGAATGGGCCAGTCTGTTGGTCTATTTAATCAGTCTTCTTTTAAAGCTAAAAAAAACTCTGTGTCAAAAGTGCTAAGGTTAAGCAAAGAATAACTAAAATTCCTTGGTTTTGGATATTCATGTGACTCCATGGTTAATTGGAATGGTGACATTGTCAGTTTTCCTCATGCCGTTTATTCTAGAATTGCAGTTTAGAATCACTGAAGAAAAGATAATTTCATAAATAATTGCTCACATTTCTGGGGGTGCAGCTTAGCTCAGCTGTCCTTGATTGATGCAAGTAGACATGTTTATCCCTAGTGTTTGTATCCACTGGCTGCTGAATCTTAAAGTGCAATTTCTTGTCAGTGATTTAAAGCAGTAATTCTCTCCATTAAGAAGAACCCTTGTTACTTTAGACTCTAAAATCCAGTCATGTTGACAATTCAGAAATAAACTACACTGGCCTGTTTAAAAAGAAACTCTCAGTTGTATCTAAGTTACTCTGTTGGAAT